AAAGGTGGTGCTTGAGTGGCAGCCAAACAGCGCCCGTTCATCACCTCATGGCAACAGTCTGGGCATGCCACACTGTAGGGCAAGGGGCCAACGACCCCTGCCCACATCATCTTCCTCTCCATCACCTTCCTCAGCCCTATGGATGACCTGTACCATTGTGTTTCAAGGGGATTTGTATCTCTCTTGCAGAGTGGAGCCAAGCCAAGGAGGAACTCAGGTATGATAATGGGGGATATCCAATTAAAATTGCTATAGACACAGTGGGCCCTACAGTGAACTTGTGCAACAAAGTCACATTGTGCAATATTCTGGCTGGTTTCACATGCGAATATAATCACTTTCTTACCCCTGTGTGCTCCACTGATCATCTAAATCAAAAGTACCCCCTTATACCATGGCAACCATTGTGCATTCTCATTGTTACACTGATTACCATGGCAACCATTAAGCATTCTAATTGTGAAGTTGGTTACCATTGCAACCATTGTCCATTCTCATTGTGACATTGCTTACCTTGGCAACCACTATGCATTCTCATTGATATGTGCATTACCATGGCAACCATTGTGCATTTGGATTGATAGGTTCGGTTAATAAGGCAACCATTATGCATTCTTATTGATACGTCATTCACCATGGCAACCATCTGTAACACACAGATAATATAGACATTCCAAAAATGGTTTCTGCCTGTCAAAACCTTCCTATCAAACATTTTCTGTCAGCTCTCTGCCAGAAGTTCTCACCAGGACTTCCCACTGCACTTTTCCTGCCAAAACATCCTGCCATTGTTTGTGATCATCATATCTCTGCCAATATCTCAACTGGCTACGTGCCAAGAAACCACGTGCAACCTCCTCTGAACACTCTAAAAGTTGAGGGCAAATTCTGGAAAATCAGGGAGAGGAAAGGGAGAAGAACTGGTGACTGTAGCCGAGAATCTCTGCCCACCTCCCCTCACCTTTTCTCCATGGAAACTGCAACACTAAAGAAACATTAAAGAAACACTAAAACTACCACTAATACAGAATAAGATAGGACACTGCTCTACACTAAAGCAATGTTTGAAACAATTCTACTCAAGTTGGCACCAAAGCAAGAATTATGAATTAAAGATGGATGGAACTCCCCCAGACCAACACTCGTGGGGAGATCTCTGCTCTCAACCTCCAGCACTGACCTTGGGGGGTCCCCAGCCAAGGCAGGAATCTCCACACATCCCCCAGAAGGGCTCTGTTGGCACAACCTGCCCCTGGGAAAGGGGACTGGCCCTTTCTGGTGGAAAGGGATGGACTGACAGTCACTGGACTCCAGGGGTTGCCTCACCATCAGGGGGTTCACTCGGGGTGGGAGCAGCGGCCGAAGTTCTTCCCGCAGTCAGGGCTCTCCTAGGGCTTCTCTTACTGGTGGGTCTGTTGGTGTTTGGTCAAGGTAGAGCTGTCACGTGAAGCTCTTCCCACACTCCCCACACTTGTAGGGCCTCTCCCCAGTGTGGATGCGCCGGTGGGTGATGAGGGTGGAGTTCTGGTTGAAGCCCTTCCCGCAGTCGGTGCAGCGGAAGGGCCTCTCATCTGTGTGTGCCTGCTCATGCCTGAGGACAGTTGAGCTGCCCCTAAACCTCTTCCCACATTCCCTACACGTGTAGGGCCGTTCCCCAGTGTGGATGAACTGGTGACTGAGGAGGTTGGTGCTCCTCCTGAAGCTCTTCCCACATTCCAAGCACCTGAAGGGCTTCTCCCTGCTGGAAGGTTGCTCAGGGACCACCAGCTCGGAGCTCCAGCTCAAGCTCTGGTCGCCTTCCTGGCACAGGACGGGTCTTTCCTCCTCAGAGCTCCCTGGGCTGGCTTTGCAGCCCCTCCTCCGGGGGCATCTCCGGGCCTTTTCCTCCCCACTGCCTTCCTGCACCGGGGAGCCCTTCAAAACGGCCTCTCCCACCAGGCTCTGCCGGGGGATTTGTCCTCCGTGCTCTCCGTCCTCAGCTCGGGGCCTGGGGCAGGAAGGAAGAAGGACAGGCAGGGGATTTGCCTCCAGCCCCGAGGGAAGGCCAAGGACATCCCCCCCAAATTTGGCCTCCACATGCACCACAAGACAGGGCCAAAGGGGCACTGACTTCCTCCTCACCTGCCTGGGGGACCTGCGGCAACTTCCTCTTCCTCACAGCCTCCTCCTCCATCCACCCAAACTTTGGGGAGGACAAATCCTGCTGGGGGGAAACAAGGGCTGAGTGCCCTACCTTTGGGGTTCCTCCTGCCCAAGTCCATCTCTTGAACTCATCGGGCATCCTGGGACCATAAAAACCTCCAAAACACCAAGATTTAGCCCAGAAAAACCCAAACCACCAAGATTCAGACAAAAACTTTTCAGAAATAGCAAAAAGATCCCCACATCCCAAACTGCAAAAAGTCGAGAATCAGCTTAAATATATACCCAGTTCTGAAGATTAGCCCAAAAAAATCTCTCCCAGGATATCCCCCTCTCTGGTCTCTCCCCTCTGGGGTTCAGAGTTTCTCCACTGTCTGGGATGTTTGGGGTCCCACTTAGTGATGTTGGGAGTGCTGGTGGTCCCAAGGGTCCCTTCTCGTCTGACTCTCACCTTTGGGGTGCCGCCTTCCCAGACATTCCCTCTTGAAAGGAGAGCAAGGCCTAAAAAATCACCTATCTTGCTCAGCTGAGAGAAGCCCCCCATACCTGCTCTGCCTAAATTGCTAAAGAAAAATTTGTTCTGTTCCGTTCCTTGGACCTTATAATCTAAAGAAGGCTGGAAACATTCTACAATGGGTCTGTAGGCCCGAAATTAAGGCAAAGTCAGCCAAGGGAGACATTTGAATAGGCCTAAAGCAAAGGCTCTCTCCAAGCTTCAGTGACTGGGGCAAAGACAGTGGAAAGTTAGAGAGGTCACAGTGAGGAAGACTGCAGAGACCCCAGCCCCGATGATGAAGAAAGGGGGATGAACCCCCAGAACTGAGGGCCAAGAAAAGCTCCACCCCAAGCTCCGCCTGAGCTCTGCCTGTACTCCAGCTATTATCAACATCAATGATTAGATGTTGCAATCATATGAATATGTATCTAAGATGTTGCAATCATAGAAGTTATACTGTATAAATTACCCTGTTTTGTACCGATACCTTCGAGCAAGAGCTTTGTGGTGCCAACCCTGCCTGCTCCCGATGTCCACAAATAAACACCTTTGCTGCTCAAAAGACAAAAAGCTTCTGGGCACTTTCTTTACTGGATTTCTCAGATTCATCTGGAGAGCAGATTGTGCCCCAGGGATGGGATTGCAGAGGATCCCTCAGGTCCCCAGGATGAAGCAGTAACCAGCAAAAGACATAAAAGGCCCACCCAAGGATTTCAGGGGGAGTGTCCTGCAGGGAGGGGACAGTGTCACCCCACGAAGGCAGGGCTGGCAAGTGGGAGGCTGCTCCAGTTGTCTGCAAAGAGGCCTCGTGCTCTGCTCGGCCCCATCAGTGCCTGGGACCAACACCCCGTCCTCGTGGCCAGCGGCTCTTTCCTGCCCCAGCCAAGAGGTTCCCGGCCCCCCAGAGCTCCCCTGGGGCTGTCCCTGCTCCTCCCTGCAGGCTCCGTGGCTGGGCACACTTTGTGTTCCTGGGTGCCACCAGCTCAGCAGCTGCAGCCGCTCCAATCAGCGCCCGCAGCTCTGCAGCAAAGCCCCAGCTCACCTGGCACACAGGGCATGGACACAGCACCTTCTCACTGCTGGGCACTCCCAGCTCAGCCTCTTCCCCAGCACGGGGCTCTCCTGCCTCAGCACCACCTCTGCCTTCCACTTCTTCTCAGGGCCACCTCAGGGCCAGCTCTGGGCTCACCTCCGGGCCATTGCTCAGGGGCACCTGGGTGGGAGAGGAGGGGCAGCACCACAAGCAGGTGAGTCCTGAGACCCCCCTGGTGTCCCCAATGTCCTCAGGGCCTCCCCATGGCCCCAATTCCCCCCTTGACACCCCCAATTCCACTGTCCCCAAACCCCACCCTACATGTCTCCAACCCTTTATCACCTACCAGGAGCCCCCTCTGGACCCTCTGACCCCAGACCAACCCCAATTCCCCCTTCACACTCACAGAAAATTCAACAACATGTGGAGAGACACTGGGGATACTTGGGGGGCTTTGGGGGGTAGTGGGTGGGTAGTGGGGGATACTGGGACACACTGGGGGGAACCAGGGGGCACTGGGAGGGACTGGGGGTTATTGAGGGATGCTGGGAGGGCACTGGGAGGGACTGGGTGATTACTGAGGGACTACCAGGACACACGGGGGGACACTGGGAGGTTACTGGGCCATACTGGGGGTTACTGGGTGCTCACTGCAGGATCATTGGGCCACACTGAGGGGTAGAGGGAGGTCACTGGGAAACACTGGGTGGTCACTGGGGGGTTTACTGGGCCATACTGAGAGCCACTGGGAGGTCACTGGGCTATACTGGGGGCACTGGGATCCCCTTACCCCCATGTGGTTCATCTGCCTCACAAGACTTTGGGTGGCACTGCCAGGACCCCTCCCCTGAGTGCTGAGGGACCCCCTGAACCCCACTGCTGGGCTTTAGGGGATCTCCGAGATCCTCTCCCTGTGGGGTCTCTGTGTGCTGAGTTTTGGGGGTCTCTGGGGTTCGGGGGGGGCATCAGGACCCGCTTTCCCTGCGGTCGGTTCGCCCAGCCGGCAGGGGGCGCTGTGGCACGAGCGGCAATGGCGGCGCCGCCTGTGCCTAATGGGAGTTGTAGTTTGCCTGTGGAGACTCCGCCGGCGCCTGCGCAGTGCAGCCATGGCGTTTAAACCTCTCTCCTGAGGGGGTTCCATGGCCCCAGCCCTTTCAGGGACCTCCTAAACCCCTTCAGGCACCTTCACCCTCCCCTCTGAGCGCCCTCAGGACACCAAATCCCCTCCGCGACCCCCCGGGAGCCCCTCACGGACCTCAAAACCTCCTCGGGAACCCCCGAGCCCCTCCTCTCCACTCTGCCGAGCCCTCCAGCCTTCCCGCCCACAGCCGCGCTCCCCGCAGCCCCCGAGCGCATCCCCAGCCCCGCCGCAGCCCCCGCCAGGGCTCACAAAGTCGGAGCAGATCCCGCTGTCGCCGCCATCGCTTCCCGGCAGCCACCGCGGGGCTGTGCGCGCGCACCGCCGGCAGAGACCCCGCCCCGCCCCCTTTTCCGCGCGGGGCACGCCGGGAGTTGTAGTTGCAGCGGCTCAAAGCTCCAAACTCCCCCAGACTCAATTCCCCACGGGCGTTCCTGGGGCAGAGCGGGGCAGAACCGGGGCGGGGACGGGACGGGCATTGGGTGGAAATCATTATAAAAACTGTAACCCCTGCGTTGGAAGGGATGGGTGTGGGTTTGTATTCCTGGAGATTGGAGGCTCATGGAAACCTCTGCTGTTTCTCTGATTTCCTGCCTAGTTTTGCCTGGAGTCTTTTTCCCTCTGCAGCCTTTTAGGCAGCAACGTTTATGGGGTTTATGGGGACATGGCCTTTATGAGGAGAGCCTATTCTGAGGTGTATGGGGTGTATGAAGACAGTGCTTTTATTTATGGTGTTTATGAGGATAGAGCCTTTATTATGAGGTTTATGGCATTTATAAGAACATCTCCTTTATGATGACAGCCCCATGAGGAGATTTATGGGCCTTATGACAACAGGGGCCTTATGAGGCCTGCACTGTTATGAGGTGTGTGAGGGTTATGAGGACAGTGCCTTCATGAGGCTGCCCCATTGTGAGGTGGATGGGTTTATGAGGACAGGGGCCTTATGAGGAGAGCCTCTTAGGAGGTTTATGGATTCTATGGATGCAGCCTGGCAAAATGGAGATGCTGAAAAAAGGGTGAAACAGTGAAACTCTGAGGCTCAGAGCCAGTGCTGGTGGGTGGATGTGTTGCCCGAAACAAGAACAAAAACCAACAGAGTGTCAGTTTATGCGGTGCTTTATTCAGGGCCCGGGAAACCTGAGGACTAGCGTCCCAAGTCAGGATTCCAAAGACCCTCATGTCGACTACATCTTTTATACCTTTAACAAACAAAGCTACGTGATTGGCTCACACATCAAAGCAAATATACCAGTTATACATAAACTTACATATATCATCCTGAGTACAATCAACTGTTACCTCTCCCCTCTAACACATTGTGTAACTGACTCCCACCACCAGATTACATCCTATTTCTAGTTACAAATCATCTTGTACCGGTTCTGCATGCTTGACTTAATCCTTTTAGTATTGTTTCTTTGGATCAGCACATTCTTAACTCATAAGTCCCAGGTGTTGCTGGCAGAGCCTCTTTCAGGCCTACCCTGCAAAGCAAACCTCTGACCAAACTACTACTAGTGCTGTAATCACTGCAACAGATGTAGGGACAAGGCAGTTGTACAGAACAAGGCAGAGCCGTGGGGGCACTGTGGGGCTGTGGCTCCAACTGCAGCCAAACCCCCCCATCCCAGAGGGATGCAAAGGGCAAACAGAGATCTCAAAATCCCCAGGGCAATGTGGATTGTATTTAAAAAAAAAAAAAATCCTGAGAACACCAAAAAGGACCTTGATCAAAACCTCTGCTGTGAAGCCAAGGGCTTTCACCCATGGCTGTTGCCTCGTTCCTCCCAGCTGGAAGGTCTGGGATGAGGAGAGATGACTGTGTGGCCAGAAGGTCTTTGGGCAGATGGGACACCCGGCCTTTCCATGGAGCAACCAGGATGACCCAGCCCTGCACAGCCCCCCCAGAGCCTGGCAAGCTGCTCTGCAAGAGGAAAAACCTACAGTGGTGTCACCCTGAGAGTTTCTCTTGTCTCAGCGTCTGCTGCCAAGTGGTGGGGCAAGAAGAGGCGGGTGGCACAGGCAGGGCCAGCAATGCCTGTCCTGCTCCTGCCATGGTGCCCAGGTGGGCTCCCATGGGACAGTGGGTGGCAGGAATTGTCAGATCCCCTTGCCCTGGTTGGGCAGATTTGTTTAGGAATTGGTATTATCTTGTCTGGTTTTCATAATCACACAGCAAAATGGTCATTATTCTATCAATATGTATGTGTCTGTAGATATCTATGTACATTTAATTTTGAGAGCAGAGCAGTGCTGTTTTGAAACTCATCTTTCCTATAAAGGAATTTCTCTCCTGACAATAAACCCCCTGAAGATTTGTATGCCCCTTGCCTCTCCTTTCAGAAGGGCTTCAGAGTCCCAGAGGCATCAAGATGGGCCTTCTGGCTTTTGCAAGGTCTGCTGTGCTCAGGCTCCACCAATCCTTTGGGGAAATCTTTGCTGGGTGAGCAAGCCAGGCTGCTGCAGGCCCAGGCTCAGCTGGAGGGAGCCAGCATGGCATGGACGCCGTGTCCCCATGGGCAGGGTTTGCTTTGGAGCCTGTGCTTGTTGGAACACAGGGATCTGTGAGCTGAGCTGGGGATGGACCCGCGGCCCGGCCCAGGCGCCCCATGGAGCTGCTCTGGGCTGTGTGCTGGGAGCATGGCCACTTAATTGGTTATAGGCTGGTTACCAGGAAGGCCTAGATCAAAAGCATCCCAATAGGCTTGGTGAGCACTCTGATGCTGGCTGCTGCTGTCTGAGCCCTGCTGCCTTAGGACAGCAGCATCCTCCCCTCATTTCACAGTCAGTTGAGCCTCTCAGTTCTTTCCTTTGTCAAATGAGGCAACGAAAACTGTTGAGAAGACAAAGACTTTATCAAAGAGATTCTTGTGCTTGAATGCCAAAGTCGGGAGGGAGAGACCAAATGCATCCCTGCCACAGGCACACATTGGCTCCCATCCCCTGGACACAAGATTGGAGTGTCTGAGCTGGCCTGAGTGGAACCAGCAGAGCTCCTCCCCACTCTGGCTGTGCTCTGCTGCTGAGAGCCTGGGAGAGGCCAGCCTGGGAAATGGAATTCACTGTTTTGTAGGATGGGCTTGAAAAATCCCTCTCTGAGTGAGGTGTGGAGGTTCAGCCCATCATCCTCACTGTGTGGCCCAGAGAATGGAAAACAAGATCTGTGCAGGATCTCTGCCTCCCACCTCTGCCTTTTGTTTCCTTGCAGGGGCCTGCAGAGAGAGATGCCAAAGCTGAGCAGCAACCCCTGTGGGCTGTGGGGCTGTGGGGTGATGGAGATGGGGCATCCTGGGCCCCCTGGTGGGGCAGGGACCACTGGGGAAAAGAATCAAACCAAAACTGAAGGCAAAGGGCCCAGCTCCCTGCAGCTCTCCTGTATCCCAGGGCCAGAGGCTTGTGCAGGGCTTGCAGCCAGTAGGGGAAATAAAGAGCTTTCCTTTTTCCCTCTAAAACCTCAAGTGCAAGAGCTGAACAGCAGCACAACCTCTGTCCTGGTGGGGCCCTCCCTCAGCCAGCCCAGGGAGCTCCAGCACAGCCAGTGCCCAGGGAGAATCGCCCAGCCTGGCCTGTTCTCTCTGACAGAGCTCCTGAGCTGGGAAGAGCTCCCAGGCAGGCACAGCCACCAATGGTGAAGGATTCCCTCCTCACACACTCAGGGACCCTCAGCATCAGGGCCAAGGCTGCCCAGCTGCCACCACCAGGACATGAGGAGGTTCATCAGCTGGGATCTCACTGGGCTGTAATGGCATATCCTGGTCACTGCTTCCTCTCCCCATCACGCCTTCTCTGGTCTCTCCTCTTTTTCTAAGAGCCCATGTCAGCCAGTTGGGCAGATTGGAATGAGCTGGCTGGTTCCACATTCATCTAAAGGATCAAGATGGGAGCTGGGGGAGGAGTTCAGTGTCTGGGATGGTCCCTGCACAGGACACCAAGAATCATGAGCTCTACATTTCTCTAACAGACAGCAACCCCTCAACTAGGACAATATTCCCTGTCAGAGGCAAGTGATAACTTGTGAGCCCTTTGTACTCTTCTTTCCTCCTGGATAGGTTTTGTCCACATTGTGACCCACCCTTCTTCCAGGGTCAGCCATTCCCCTCTGGATCTGAATCCTGTGGTGTGTCCTCACCTTGCTCCTCTTGTTGTCTGCCCCCATCACCACCCTCATCCTGGAGAGATGGGACCACTGAGCACTGGCAGAGCCCAGCTTGGAGACATCTCCATGCCCATCAGTTCCCTCTGATGCTCTCCCTGCCCTGCACTCCCTGCTGTCCCCGTGTCTCTGCCCCCTACCCTGAGTGGGACCAACCCCACCCCCAGCTCCCCTTTGGGTTCAGCCCACTTGGGGCAGTGCTCAAGGGCTGTGCTGCCATTGCCCTGCTCTGCTTTGCTCAGCCCCTGCTCTCTGCTCACACACAGCCCTGTGGAACTTCACAGTATTCCACCCAATATTCCAAGTTGGAAGGGACCCACAAGGATCATCGAGTCCAATTCCTGAGCCTTCAGTGGGCCATCCCCCAGAGTCACAACACGTGCCCGGGAGTATCGTCCAAACGCTTCTTGGACTTGCACCAAGCCAGCGGTGCTGAACCCCCACACAGGCACCTCCTGCTCCCAGACAGCAGCATCTCCAGCCTCTGGGTAAGGGAGAGGGGATGCAGCCACCTCCTAAGTTATTCCAAACAGGGCATTAACATCAAACCTTGATGTCTGCCTCACCCCTCTGGGAGGATCTGTGGGCATGTGCTGGAAATTCCTGGAGGAGCTGCATTTCTGCTGTTCCCCCCACTGTCCTGGCTTTAGCTCTCCTGAAGGAAACACTGGCTTGGAGAGGCCTCAGAACAACCCCCCAGGTCCTTCTCCATGAAATACCCCCGCTCCCAGTTTTGTGAAATCACCTGGTGCAGGCAGGGAAGGTGTCCACACAAGTTCTCTGAGAGGGGCAGAGGCAAATGGGAAGAGCCTGGAAGATCTCTGGGCTGTAAACAAAGCATGAATTTGCACCTCCCTCAGTTTAATGAAACACAAGTGTTTGGCTCAGGAGGATGAGTTAGGAGGAAGACCAAACTCCTCCCCCTAAGCAATTGTAAATCCAAAATTAGGAGGCTCCAAGTATGGAGAGGAAGTATGGAGAAAGGAAAAATAACAGTCCTTTATTAAAGGATATATGTGTGTTGGAAGAACAACAAAAGAACACAAAATCAAGCAAA